TCCCTCACACACCTCTGTATGTACAGGACTCCTCACTGTCTGCTCTTACAGTAGAGATCCCCTCCCTCACACACACCTCTGTATGTACAGGACTCCGCACTGTCTGCTCTTACAGTAGAGATCCCTTCCCTCACACACCGTGGGTTGCTCTGCTCTCGTTTAGAGATCCCTTACATAAAGCTAGTTGTGGATTGCTTTAGAGGGGAGGGGGTGGGGGCGGAGCCTCTGGAAGGTTCTGGTGTCCCCATTGGGCAGATTTCTCTGACTTCCTGCTGTGGTCACCCCATAGGAAGCCCCTCCTCCACCTCTCTGGTCAGGTGATCTACTGATATTGTTGTTGTTGGGGGGGGGGTAAGAGTTCTGATTGGTCGCTGTATGGGGGGGGGGGGGGGGGCGGGAGGGGTCTCGATATATTCTCTGCCCAGTAGAGATCCCCCCCCGCACACCGACCCGCAGAGCTGACAATCGGATCTCCAGGTGTGTGCCGAGTCAGCAGTCGGGGGCGGAGCCGGGCGATGAGTAACTTCGAGTCAGGAATTCATCTAGACAACCAACCGCAGAACTCCTGGGGGGGGGATCATCGACTGAGGGGGGGGATCATCGACTGAGGAGGGGGATCATCGACTGGGGGGGGATCATCGACTGAGGAGGGGGGATCATCGACTGGGGGGGGATCATCGACTGAGGGGGGGGATCATCGACTGAGGAGGGGGATCATCGACTGGGGGGGGATCATCGACTGAGGAGGGGGATCATCGACTGGGGGGGAACATCGACTGAGGGGGGGGATCATCGACTGAGGGGGGGGATCATCGACTGAGGAGGGGGATCATCGACTGAGGAGGGGGGATCATCGACTGAGGGGGGGGATCATCGACTGAGGAGGGGGGATCATCGACTGGGGGGGAACATCGACTGGGGGATCATCGACTGGGGGGGGATCATCGACTGAGGGGGGGGATCATCGACTGAGGGGGGGGGGGGACATCGACTGAGGGGGGGATCATCGACTGAGGGGGGGATCATCGACTGAGGAGGGGGGATCATCGACTGGGGGGGGATCATCGACTGAGGGGGGGGGATCATCGACTGAGGGGGGATCATCGGACTGAGGGGGGGGATCATCGACTGAGGGGGGGGATCATCGACTGAGGGGGGGATCATCGACTGAGGGGGGGGGGCATCGACTGGGGGGGGATCATCTACTGGGGGGGATCATCGACTGAGGAGGGGGGGGGGGAATCATCGACTGAGGGGGGGGATCATCGACTGAGGGGGGGGACCATCGACCGAGGGGGGGGGGGGATCATCGACTGAGGGGGGATCATCGACTGAGGGGGGGATCATCGACTGAGGGGGAGATCATCGACTGAGGGGGGGGGATCATCGACTGAGGGGGGGGATAATCGACTGAGGGGGGGGATCATCGACTGAGGGGGGGGGATCATCGACTGAGGGGGGGATCATCGACTGAGGGGGGGGATCATCGACTGAGGAGGGGGGATCATGGACTGAGGGGGTTATCATCGACTGAGGGGGGGATCATCGACTGAGGGGGGGGATCATCGACTGAGGGGGGGGTTATCATCGACTGAGGGGGGGGATCATCGACTGAGGGGGGATCATCGACTGAGGGGGGGGGATCATCGACTGAGGGGCGGATCATCCACTGAGGGGGGGATCATCCACTGAGGAGGGGGATCATCGACTGAGGGGGGGGGATCATCGACTGAGGGGGGGATCATCGACTGAGGAGGGGGATCATCGACTGAGGGGGGGATCATCGACTGAGGAGGGGGAATCGACTGAGGAGGGGGGATCATCGACTGAGGGGGGGGGATCATCGACTGGGGGGGGATCATCGACTGAGGGGGGGATCATCGACTGAGGAGGGGGATCATCGACTGAGGGGGGGGATCATCGACTGAGGGGGGGATCATCGACTGAGGGGGGGAGATCATCGACTGAGGGGGGGGATCATCATCGACTGAGGGGGGGGGGGGATCATCGACTGAGGGGGGGGATCATCGACTGAGTGGGGGGGATCATCGACTGAGGAGGGGGATCATCGACTGAGGGGGGGGGGGGGGGATCATCGACTGAGGGGGGGGATCATCGACTGAGGGGGGGGATCATCGACTGAGGGGGGGGATCATCGTCTGAGGGGGGCGGATCATCGACTTAGGGGGGATCATCGTCTGAGGGGGGGGATCATCGACTGAACTGCTACATCTGCAGGACAGCTGGTTCTGTTGGAGAACACCAGACTTACCAGCCGGATCCCCAGGAAAGCAGAGGAGCACTGCCATATAAGGAGTGGGGGAGGGGCTCAGCACACCCACTGGAGGTGAATTGTAGATCAGGGGGGATGGGGGGAGGGGCTCTGCAGAGGAGATTTCTCCACTCCGACATGATTATTGGATGGTGATTGGTGGGTGGAGTCTCTGTGTGCCCCGCCTGTGCAGAGCTCCCCACCCCCTTCATGTACAGGGTGAGCATTGTGGGCGGAGTTTGTGGAGGTGATATCTGTGTCCCCTATGGGGGGGATTCTGCTCACTTCCTGTCCCGGTGACACCATGTATGGGGGACACAGCGGTCCCCTATGGGGGGTGATATCCCACGTGATCACTGTTCCTCTGCGTCTCTCTCATCCCCTGATCTCTGCGGTGAGGGGCGGGGCTCATGCTCGGAATCACGTGACTCCTCCCTGGACTACACTTCCCGGCATCCCCTGGAGCTGCTTCCTCCACACACCGGAAGTGAGGCTCAGACCGGAAGTGGGTGATCCGGGTGAGTGATGTGGCGGGGATTCTTGTGTTGGGGCAGAGAGGGGGGAGGGGTGAGATCTTCATCCCCCAGTGGGACCCCCATAGAGGAGGATGGGGGGTGTGTGTCTGTATTACAGCCCCCTCCCCCCATGATAACAGGATTGGGGGGACATTTCTCGGCACACACCCCACTTCCTGTCCAGGCTGAGCGATTGGGGGAGGTACACGGGGGGGGGGTGTTTTGTAAGGATATGAGGGTACAGGGGGGGAGGGTTTTTGGGATATGGGGGTACTGAGGGTGGGGGGGACGGGGGGTTGGGAGTACACAGGGGACATGGGGGTTGTAGGGATATGGGGGTACACGGGGGTTGTAGGGAGATGGGGGGTACACGGGGGGGGGGTTGTAGGGAGATGGGGGTGCACTGGGTTGTAGGGATACGGGGGTACACTGGGGGGAGTTGTACGGATATGGGGGTACACGAGGGGGGTTGTAGGGACATGGGGGTACATGGGGGGTTGTAGGGATATGGGGGGTACACGGGTTTTAGGGATACGGGGGTACACGAGGGGGGTTGTAGGGATATGGGGGTACATGGGGGGTTGTAGGGATACGGGGGTACACACGGGTTATAGGGATATGGGGGTACACGGGGGGGTTGTAGGGATATGGGGGGTACACGGGGGGGGGGTTGTAGGGAGATGGGGGTACACAGGGTTGTAGGGATACGGGGGTACACGAGGGGGGTTGTAGGGATATGGGGGTACACGGGGGGGTTGTAGGGAGATGGGTGTTGTAGGGATATGGGGGGTTGTAGGGATATGGGGGGTACACGGGGGGTTGTAGGGATATGGGGGTACACGGGGGATGTAGGGATATGGGGGTACACGGGTTGTAGGGATATGGGGGGTTGTAGGATATGGGGGTACACGGGGGGTTGTAGGGAGATGGGGGGTACACGGGTTTTAGGGATACGGGGGTACACGAGGGGGGTTGTAGGGATATGGGAGTACATGGGGGGTTTGTAGGGATACGGGGGTACACGGGTTATAGGGATATGGGGGTACACGGGGGGGTTGTAGGGATATGAGGGGTACACGGGGGGTTGTAGGAGATGGGGGTACACGAGGGGGGTTGTAGGGATATGGGGGTACACGGGGGGGTTGTAGGGAGATGGGTGTTGTAGGGATATGGGGGTTGTCCAGGGATATGGGGGTACACGGGGGGGTTGTAGGGGATATGGGGGTACACGGGGGATGTGGGATATGGGGGTACACGGGTTGTAGGGATATGGGGGTACATGGGGGGTTGTAGGGATATGGGGGTACACGGGGGATGTAGGGATATGGGGGTACACGGGGGGATGTTGGGAGTACACAGGGGAGATGGGGGTTGTAGGGATATGGGGGTAACAAACACGGGGGGGTTGTAGGGATATGGGGGTACACGGAGGGGTTGTAGGGATATGGGGGTACACGGAGGGTTGTAGGGATATGGGGGTACACGGGGGGGGGATGTTGGGAGTACACAGGGGAGATGGGGGTTGTAGGGATATGGGGGTACACGGGGGGTTGTAGGGATATGGGGTACACGGGGGGATGTTGGGGAGTACACAGGGGAGATGGGGGTTGTAGGGATATGGGGGTACACGGGGGATTGTAGGGATATGGGGGTTGTTGGGATATGGGGTTACACGGGGGGGTTGTTGGGATATGGGGGTACACGGGGGGTTTGTAGGGATATGGGGGTACACGAGGGGTTGTAGGGATATGGGGGTACACGGGGGATGTAGGGATATGGGGGTACACGGGGGGATGTTGGGAGTACACAGGGATATGGGGGTACACGGAGGGGGTTGTAGGGATATGGGGGTACACGGGGGGTTGTTGGGATATGGGGGTACACGGGGGGGGGGATGTTGGGAGTACACAGGGGAGATGGGGGGTTGTTAGGGATATGGGGTACACGGGGGTTGTAGGGATATGGGGGTTGTTGGGATATGGGGTTACACGGGGGGGTTGTTGGGATATGGGGGTACACGGGGGGGATGTTGGGAGTACACAGGGGAGATGGGGGTTGTAGGGATATGGGGGTTGGGATATGGGGGTACACGGGGGGTTGTTGGGATATGGGGGTACACGGGGGTTGTTGGGATATGGGGGTACACGGGGGACTTTGGGGCGCACACTTTAATCATTCACTGACTCCGCCCCCTTCTCTCCACAGCTGCAGACATGACGAAGTTGGCGCAGTGGCTGTTGGGACTAATCCTGCTGGGCGGAGCCTGGGTGACGCTGACCTTTGACCTGCTGGGTCTGGATCCGCCCCGGGCCTGTTGGGAGGTGCTGTGGCCCCTCCCCGTCTACCTCCTGGTGGTCTTCGGCTGTTACTCTCTGGCCACCATTGGCTACCGCGTGGCCACCTTCAATGACTGCGAGGACGCCGCCCACCAGCTTCAGGATCAGATCCGACAGGCCAGGAGGGAGCTGAGCCGGAGGGGGATGAGCTTCTGAGAGCGCAGCCAATGGCCTCGCTCCGTAATGTGGGGACAGGGGCGGAGCCATCACCAGACCCTAGTGATCAACCTTTGGGGTGGAGCCGTCACCAGACTGAACAGTGACCGACTTTGGGGGCGGAGCCATAACCAGAGCACACCATGAGGAACTTTGTGGGCGGAGCTTTGCTTGTTGCTGACAATAACTCTCTGCCATTGGTCACATTGTACCTCAGTCAGGTGCTATTGGACTGGTGAGGAGGCGGAGTCTAGATCCATTCCTGTTTGCCACACCCCCTCTGCTCAATGTTCCTGGTCATGTGATGCCCCACACAGCTATACATCGTTACCCCACAGCCACGCCTACTTCCTGCGGGTTCAGGTCATGTGATCTGTGTGCAGACACACCGTCCAATAATAAAGAGGCAGAGATCCAGTCCGAGGTGTCTGTTGTTGTTGTGCAGCATTGGGGGAACCTCCCAGAATCATAGAGGTGAATCCTGTCCTGTGATTGGTTTTTGTGTATATATGTGGGGGAGGGGGACTGGAGCCAGGTGGGCCTTCTGGGTAATGGGCCCCTAACAGGTCATATTTGGGGCCCCATACCAGGTAGGTGGTACATGTGTGTTGGTTGCGGCAGGTGATGTACAGCAGACGTGCTGCTGGCTCCTACCCAGAATCCTCCGGGGCCCCACCAGGCCACCTGACAAGCAGGAACATGTCCCCTGTAATCCATCCCCCCCACCGCAAGGAGCACCCGTCAGGGGTCCCCACCGTCCCTGTGCCCATTATGAGGGGTCCCCCACCGTCCCTGTGTCCATTTATGGGGGTCCCCACCGTCCCTGTGTCCCATTATGGGGGTCCCCACCGTCCCCTGTGCCCATTGAGGGGTCCCCACCGTCCCTGTGCCCATTTGAGGGGTCCCCACCGTCCCTGTGCCCATTATGAGGGGTTCCCACCGTCCCTGTGCCCATTATGAGGGGTTCCCACCGTCCCTGTGCCCATTATGACTTCCCGGACTGAGATGGCGGCTCAGAAATGACACACAACCATGTACATCCCGGTGTCGGTGCATTTCCTGGCCCTGTTCACAAATGTCTGACACAGATCAGCCCCTGCTGCAGCCTCTCACCTTGGGAATCGCTACTAAGTTACAATGTACAGTCTGATCACTGGGGGAGGGGAGATTGAGGAAATGCCTCCTCCTGCCTGCAGCAGACTGATGACATCATCTCAGCCTAGGCCCAGTCCCTGCGCGGGGGACGGCTCTTCTCATCCTCTTCCTGTACGTGGAGCCTTGTCCGGGATCAGTGAGGAGTGGACCTGTCATGTGAGGGGTGCGGTGAGCGGAGTCAGACACGGGACACGGGAGGAAAACATACATGATTTATTTATAAAATAATCATACAAAGATTCCGGCACTTTGGTGAATCCCCGCAGTCCCCACCCCCCCCCGCGCCCCCCTCCCCCCCGCACAGTCCCCTCCCCCACCATCAGAAGAGGCAGCCATGACAGTGGATGTGTCAGGTGAAGAGGCGTTGTCACCAGCAGAGAGGTGCGGCCCGTTCTGACACGGCGGAGTCCAGGGACCCCGAGGCTGCAGGTCAGATGGAACGAACGCTCTCCGTCCACCGGGGGCGCTACACATCAGGACACTCCCCCCAACGCAGGGACTGCAGATGGTCTGCTGGGAGTTGTAGTCTCAGGAAAGGCATAGATTGGTTTAAGTGCAACTACCACCAGGCTGTAGAGGGGCGTGTACCAACCCGTGTACCGCCCACTTCTGGGTACCACACCCGCCCACCCTGTGTACTGCCCCCGTCCCCCCGCCCACCTCTGTATACTAACCCCCTGTGTACTGCCCCCCGCCCCCCGTGTACCGCCCACCTCTGTATACTAATCCCGTGTAACTGCCCCGCCCCCCGTGTACCACACACCTCTGTATATCAAACAACACCCCGTGTACCGCCCCACCTCTATATACCAACACCCCGTGTACCGCCCCTGCCCCCCGTGTACCGCCCACCTCTGTATACTAACACCCTGTGTACTGCCCCCCCCCCCGTGTACCGCCCACCTCTGTATACTAACCTCCGTGTACTGCCCCCGCCCACCTCTGTATACTAACACCCTGTGTACTGCCCCCGCCCCGTGTACCGCCCACCTCTGTATACTAACCCCGTGTACTGCCCCCCGCCCCCCGTGTACCGCCCACCTCTGTATACTAACACCCTGTGTACTGCCCCCCCCCCCCCCGTGTACCGCCCACCTCTGTATACTAACACCCTGTGTACTGCCCCCGCCCCCCGTGTACCGCCCACCTCTGTATACTAACCCCGTGTACTGCCCCCGCCCCCCGTGTACCGCCCACCTCTGTATACTAACACCCTGTGTACTGCCCCCGCCCCCCGTGTACCGCCCACCTCTGTATACTAAACCCCGTGTACTGCCCCCCCCCCCCGTGTACCCCGCCCACCTCTGTATACTAACACACCCTGTGTACTGCCCCCGCCCCCCGTGTACCGCCCACCTCTGTATACTCAACACCTCTGTACCGAGTACTGCCCCCGCCCGCTACCGCCCACCGTACTGTGCACTCCCGTGTACTGCCCCCGCCCCCCGTGTACCGCCCACCTCTGTATACCAACACCCCGTGTACTGCCCCCCCGCCCCCCGTGTACCGCCCACCTCTGTATACTAAACACCCTGTGTACTGCCCCCGCCCCCCGTGTACCGCCCACCTCTGTATACTAAACCTCCGTGTGTACTGCCCCCCGTACCGCCCACCTCTGTATACTAACCCCGTGTACCGCCCACCTCTGTATACTAACACCCTGTGTACTGCCCCCGCCCCCGTGTACCGCCCACCTCTGTATACTAACCCCGTGTACCGCCCACCCTGTATGTATACTAACCCCGTGTACCGCCCACCTCTGTATACTAACCTCCGTGTACTGCCCCCGCCCCCTGTGTACCGCCCACCTCTGTGTATACTAACACCCTGTGTACTGCCCCCGCCCCTGTGTACCGCCCACCTCTGTATACTAACACCCTGTGTACTGCCCCCGCCCCCTGTGTACCGCCCACCTCTGTATACTAACACCCTGTGTAACCGCCCACCTTCTGTAAACTAACCTCCGTGTACTGCCCCCGCCCCCGTGTACCGCCCCCCGCCCCCTGTGTACCGCCCACCTCTATACTAACCCCGTGTACTGCCCCCCCCCCCCGTGTACCGCCCACCTCTGTATACTAACTAACCGTGTACTGCCCCCGCCCCCCGTGTACCGCCCACCTCTGTATACTAACACCCTGTGTACTGCCCCCGCCCCCCGTGTACCGCCCACCTCTATACTAACCCCTGTGTACCCCTGTACCGCCCACCTCTGCCCCCCGTGTACTGTACCCCCCCCCCAATACTAACACCCCTGCCCCCGCCCCCATGTACCGCCCACCTCTGTATACTAACACCGTGTACTGCCCCCGTGTACCGCCCACCTCTGTGTATACTAACACCGTGTGTACTGCCCCCGCCCCCCGTGTACCGCCCACCTCTGTATACTAACACCCTGTGTACTGCCCCCGCCCCCCGTGTACCCCCACCTCTATATACTAACCTCCGTGTACTGCCCCCGCCCCCGTGTACCGCCCACCTCTGTATACTAACACCCTGTGTACTGCCCCCCCGCCCCCCGTGTACCGCCCACCTCTATATACTAACCTCCGTGTACTGCCCACCTGGGTACCAATCACCTCTGTGCCACCATAATAAATTTATGGGGGTAGGAGTGGGAGTGTACAGCATGCTGTGCGCACAGATCTGGGCCCCTGTGACGGGAGCGCGCTCCAGGCTGTGCGCACAGAGCGGGGCCCCTGTGACGGGAGCGTGCTCCATGCTGTGGCCCCTGATTCCCGTACGATGGGAGTGTTCCACTCATCAGCTCCGCGTACAATGGACTGTCTGTGTCCTGATGACAGCCAGTCCCGGCTCCTTCACACTCGGTTTCCTGGCGGGAGGGGCGGCCGCGCTGTTTGTGTAGCTGCTCTGCTCTCTCCTGACTCAGCCGCTAGTGAAGTGCTGACCGGCCCCGGGCGGGGTCACAGGGGGCCACACAATGCAAACCGCCCGCGTCAGCGCAAATCCCCTCCGAGAGTGTCCGAGCGCCTGGGATCAATCCCCTCCCCCGATCTACTGCAGCGTGACAGGTCCCCTTCACCGATCAGAAAATAAAAAGTGCTTTATTGTGCAGAAGCCCCGGGCCCCAGAAGAGACAGAGCCCCGGGCCCCAGAAGAGACAGCCCCATGTATAAAGGGCCCCAGAAGAGACAGAGCCCCATGTATAGAGGGCCCCAGAAGAGACAGAGCCCCGGGCCCCAGAAGAGACAGAACCCCGTGTATAGAGCACCCCAGAAGAGACAGAGCCCCGTATATAGAGGGCCCCAGAAGACACAGAGCCCCGGGCCCCATGGCAGTGCCCAGTGTAGCCCCAGAATAAAGTGCGTCAGCATGTTCAGGCACATGGTAGGGTGGCGCGCCGCGTTGCGCTCTCACGCCGGCAGGTAGCGGTAGGACGGTTGCTCCTGGGGGGTAGCGCCAGAACAGCCAGATCCTCAGCAGGCTGGTCACAATCCCGGGGAAGTTTGGAACCTGCAGGACAGAGATGACAGTGAGGACCCCACATGCACCCCCCCGGTAGGCAGACACACGTGGCGTCACGCGCACTCACCATGATGTAGGCATCGTTGAGCTGCATGCCGTACAGCACCCAGGAGGTGGAGGTCAGGAAGGTGGTGATGGTCAGCGGCATGGACAGGCACTTGGTGGACTTGGTTCTGATGATCTGGGCCTGGAGGTGGAGCAGAAGGTAGGTGATTGGTTTCAGGATGAACAATGCCCCGCCCTACACTACTGCACCCAATCAGAATTCCCTCAGGGTTCTAGCCACACCCACCGTGCCACCTCGGGTTCTCACCATCCTGGTTTCAGGATGAACAATGCCCCGCCCTACACTACCCTTCTGCACTGCGCCCCAATCAGAATCCTTCATGCGTTCTAGCCACACCCACTGCACCACCTCGGGTTCTCACCATCCTGGTTTCAGGATGAACAATGCCCCGCCCTACACTACTTCTGCACCCAATCAGAATTCCTTCAGCGTTCTAGCCACACCCACACTGCGTCACCTCAGGTTCTCACCAGCCTCCGGTGCTGGAACTGAACGCCACTGAGGGGCGGGATCTGTGTTCCAGCAGAGAAACTGATTGGCTGAAGATCAAACTTCAACCAAAAAGTGTAGCGGGAGGCGGTGACCTCCAGGAGCGGCGGGTGGACGTCAGGTGAGATCAGGAAATGTTGGGTCAGCTGACCAATGAGACTCCCTCTAGCTGTACCCCCCACTGCGGCCAGTGTGTTGCGGGGTCCCAGCTCCGCCCCCTATAGGCCCTAAAGGAGGACGACACTTGCCAGGTCAGCCAGCGGAGACAAGTACATGCTGATGGTGAAGACGCTGCAGAAGAGGCCCAGCTGGTTGAGGCGGAGGCCGGCGTCGGGGATCCACAGGGAGAAGTAGACGAACGCCACAACTAGGACTGCGGCCCCCAGGAGGACCTGAGAAAGGGGGCGCCGCTGCAGAGAACGAGACAGTCATCAGAGACAAGTGCGACAACACGAGGGAGACTGACACACAGATGAGGTCATACCTTCTCCGGGAATAGAAGAGGAAAGCGGCCATGTAGAGAGTCTGCAGGGAGGCCCCGATGGAGTTCACCGTCATCAGAGTCCCATCCCCCTTCAGATATCCGTAATACAACCAGCCCAGGTTGCTGCAAGGGAGGGACTCTGATTACAATGCTGACCTACAATTCTCCAACGTGCCCGCCCCCGCGGACCCACAATCCTCCACTCGCTGCCCCCGCGGACCCACAATCCTCCACTCGCTGCCCCCGCAGACCCACAATCCTCCACTCGCTGCCCCCGCGGACCCACAATCCTCCCTCCTCGCTGCGCCCGCCCCCGCGGACCCACAATCCTCCACTCGCTGCGCCCCCCCCCGCGGACCCACAATCCTCCACTCGCTGCGCCCGCCCCCGCGGACCCACAATCCTCCACTCGCTGCGCCCGCCCCCCCGCGGACCCACAATCCTCCACTCGCTGCGCCCGCCCCCGCGGACCCACAATCCTCCACTCGCTGCGCCCGCCCCCGCGGACCCACAATCCTCCACTCGCTGCGCCCGCGCCCCCCGCGGACCCACAATCCTCCCACTCGCTGCGCCCGCCCCCGCGGACCCACAATCCTCCACTCGCTGCGCCCGCCCCCGCGGACCCACAATCCTCCACTCGCTGCGCCCAGCCCCCGCGGACCCACAATCCTTCACTCACTGTGCCCTCCCCCGCAGACCCACAATCCTTCACTCACTGTGCCTTCCCTGCGGACACACAATCCTTCACTCACTGTGCCCTCCCCCGCAGACCCACAATCCTTCACTCACTGTGCCCTCCCCTGCGGACACACAATCCTCCACTCACTGCGCTTGCCCCCCGCAGACCCACAATCATCCACTCACTGCGCCCTCCCCCGCGGACCCACAATCATTCACTCACTGTGCCCTCCCATACAGACCCACAATCCTCCACTCACTGTGCCAGCCCCCGCAGACCCACAACCCTCCACTCACTGTGCCCTCCCCCGCGGACCCACAATCATTCATTTACTGCACCCTCCCCCGCAGACCCACAATCCTCCACTCACTGCGCCCTCCCCCGCAGACCCACAACCCTCCACTCACTACACAAACCCCAACACACTCTGGAAACATCCAGCCCACACACTTGGCCGTCCTGCAGGTAAGATTGCATGCAGTCCCCCAGACTCACCCAATACATGACAGAGGTGCAGGAGGAGCCAAACCTACTTCAGATCGGTGGTGAGGAACGGCAGGAACTGGATATTGTCCACACTCTTCCTGGAGACCATTAGCCGGAGATCTGACCTGCGTGGGTACAAGACATGAATGGAGCTGCTGGTGGGATGACAGGAGACATATTCTTCATATCAACTCCACTATAATGGCTGGGCTGCCAGTGACACCAACACTTATTATCGTGGCCACCTACCTCAGAGACAGGGAGGTGAGGGAGGGGACGCTGTGCAGAAGACACAAGACCACTGTGTGTGGTCATAGAGAGACAGGCCGGAGGACAGACACGGAGAAGGAAGGGAGACGGACGGGAGGACACGGAGAAGGAAGGGAGACGGACGGGAGGACACGGAGAAGGAAGGGAGACACGGACGGGAGGACACGGAGAAGGAAGGGAGACGGACGGGAGGACACGGAGAAGGAAGGGAGGACGGACGGGAGGACACGGAGAAGGAGGGAGACACGGACGGGAGGACACGGAGAAGGAAGGGAGACGGACGGGAGGACACGGAGAAGGAAGGGAGACGGACGGGAGGACACGGAGACGGAGAGGACACGGAGAAGGAAGGGAGGACACGGACGGGAGGACACGGAGAAGGAAGGGAGGACACGGACGGGAGGACACGGAGAAGGAAGGGAGGACACGGACGGGAGGACACGGAGAAGGAAGGGAGGACACGGACGGGAGGACACGGAGAAGGAAGGGAGGACACGGACGGGAGGACACGGAGAAGGAAAGGAGGACACGGACGGGAGGACACGGAGAAGGAAGGGAGGACACGGACGGGAGGACACGGAGAAGGAAGGGAGGACACGGAGAAGGAAGGAAGACGGATAGAAGGACACGGAGAAGGGAGCCGGACGGGAGGACACGGAGAAGGAAGAAAGGTGGACAGGAGGACACGGAGAAGGAAGGGAGACAGACAGGAGGACACGGAGAAGGAAGGGAGGCGGACAGGAGGACATGGAGAAGGAAGGGAGGCGGACAGGAGGACACGGAGAAGGGAGGCAGACAGGAGGAGGAAGGGAGGTCACGGCAATGGATGTGATATGGAGAAGTGGATATTGTGGGCAAGCAAATGGTGGATGGGAGGACAGGAGGAGGATACGGAGGTGGACAGGAGGACACGTAGAAGGACGTGAGGTGGATGGGAGGATAGGGAAGCGGACGGGGAGGACGTGGAGGACAGGGAAGAGGACACGGAGGACGACATGAAGGTGGACACAGAGAAGGACACGGAGGTGGACGGAAGACACGTAGAAGGACGAGAGACGGACAGGTGGACGCGTAGGAGGACAGGGAAGAGGACAGGGAAGCGGACACGTAGGAGGACATGAAGGAGGACACAAGGTGGACGGGGGAGGACGCGTAGGAGGACAGGGAAGAGGACACGTAGGAGGACATGAAGGAGGACACAAGGTGGACGGGAGGACACGGAGGAGGACAGGGAAGCGGACACGGAGGAGGACATGAAGGAGGACACAAGGTGGACGGGAGGACACGGAGGAGGACAGGGAAGCGGACACGGAGGAGGACATGAAGGAGGACACAAGGTGGACGGGAGGACAGGGAAGACAGGGAAGCCACGGAGGAGGACATGAAAGAGAACACAAGGTGGACGGGAGGACACGGAGGAGGACAGGGAAGAGGACAGGGAAGCGGACACGTAGGAGGACATGAAGGAGGACACAAGGTGGACGGGAGGACAGGGAAGCGGACACGGAGGAGGACAGGGAAGCGGACACGGAGGAGGACATGAAGGAGGACACAAGGTGGAGGGAAGCGGACACGGAGGAGGGACAGGGAAGCGGACACGGAGGAGGACATGAAGGAGAACACAAGATGGACGGGAGGACACGGAGGTGGATAGACAGATGAGGGTCGCCGTTGGCCCTCGGTGGGGCAGATTGCCACCATTACACCCCCTCAGTACTGATCACATATTGATTGCACAGAAGTCTCTCGGTGAGGTGGATGAGCTCCATATCAGCCCCAGAACCTGTATAATGCCATGTTCCGGTATGCAGGGATGAGGTGGCAGCTCCCTCCGATGGGGGTGAGAGAAGTTATAGTAGAGGATTCCTCCGGGGGCATCACATAGATCTGTCGGGGGGAGGACACGACCGGAGGAGCTCCGGGTGCGGAGGGCGCACAGGCCGGAGATCCGGGGACTGGCGCGGAAAGCTGCATGGGAAGGGGGCGGAGCGGAGCTGCCGAGCAGTCACTCGAGGCCGGGGGTCCGGACACACTCACAGGCCGCTTGAGAACATAGAAACGGTGAAGAGGATGCAGGCGGCGGAGAGGAGCCACAAAACGTCCATGGTGAGCCGAGGATGAGGATGGCGGAAGAGGAGAAGGAGGCGGCCAGGTATATAACCCTCCCCCATAGGAGGAGCTCCACCATCAACTGCCACCTCACATCATCCCCATCAACTGCCACCTCACATCTTCCCCATCAACTGCCACCTCACATCTTCCCCATCAACTGCCACCTCACATCATCCCCCGCCAACTGTCACCTCACATCATCCCCCGCCAACTGTCACCTCACATCATCCCCATCAATCTGCCCACCCCACATCATCCCCATCATCTGCCACCCATCATCCCCATCAACTGCCACCTCACATCATCCCCATCAACTGCCACCCTCACATCATCCCCATCATCTGCCACCTCACATCATCCCCATCAACTGCCACCTCACATCATCCCCATCAACTGCCACCCCCACATCATCCCCATCAACTGCCACCCTCACATCATCCCATCAACTCTGCCAATCATCAACTAATCACATCATCCATCATCTGCCAACTCACATAATCCCCATCCTCTGCCACCTCACATTATCCCCATCAACTGCCACCCCACATCATCCCCATCCTCTGCCACCCCACATCATCCCCATCATCTGCCACCTCACATTATCCCCATCAACTGCCACCTCACATCATCCCCATCATCTGCCACCTCACATCATCCCCATCCTCTGCCACCTCACATTATCCCCATCTCTGCCACCTCACATTATCCCCATCAACTGCCACCTCACATCATCCCCATCATCTGCCACCTCACATCATCCCCATCTCTGCCACCTCACATCATCCCCATCCTCTGCCGCCTCACATCATCCCCATCCTCTGCCCGCCTCACATCATCCCCATCAACTGCCACCCCACATCATCCCCATCCTCTGCCACCTCACATTATCCCCATCAACTGCCACCTCTCACATCATCCCCATCATCTGCCACCTCACATCATCCCCATCCTCTGCCACCTCACATTATCCCCATCAACTGCCACCTCACATCATCCCCATCAACTGCCACCTCACATCATCCCCATCATTTGCCGCCTCACATCATCCCCATCAACTGCCACCTCACATCATCTGCCACCTCACATCATCCCCATCAACTGCCACCTCACATCATCCCCATCATTTGCCACCCCACATCATCCCCATCAACTGCCACCCCACATCATCCCCATCAACTGCCACCTCACATCATCCCCATCAACTGCCACCACCTCACATCATCTGCCACCCCACATCATCCCCATCAACTGCCACCTCACATCATCCCCATCAACTGCCACCTCACATCATCTGCCACCTCACATCATCCCCATCAACTGCCACCTCACATCACCCCCATCAACTGCCACCCCTCACATCATCCCCATCAACTGCCACCTCACATCATCCCCATCAACTGCCACCTCACATCATCCCCATCATCTGCCACCTCACATCATCCCCATCAACTGCCACCCACATCATCCCCATCAACTGCCACCCCATCCCCAACTGCCACCTCACATCATCCCCATCAACTGCCACCTCACATCATCCCCATCAACTGCCACCTCACATCATCCCCATCAACTGCCACCTCACACATCCCCATCAACTCATCCCCATCATCACTGCCACCCCACATCATCCCCATCAACTGCCACCCACATCATCCCCATCATCTGCACCTCACATCATCCCCATCAACTGCCACCTCACATCATCTGCCACCTCACATCATCCCCATCAACTGCCACCCCACATCATCTGCCCCATCACATCAACTCCCCCATCCACATCATCCCCATCAACTGCCACCTCACATCATCCCCATCAACTGCCACCCTCACATCATCCCCATCAACTGCCACCTCACATCATCTGCCATCACATCAATGCCCCCATCAACTGCCACCTCACATCATCCCCATCAACTGCCACCTCACATCATCATCCCCATCCCTCCATCATCTGCCACCTCACATCATCCCCATCAACTGCCACCTCACATCATCATCCCCATCAACTGCCACCTCACATCATCCCCATCAACTGCCCCCCACATCATCCCCCATCAACTGCCACCTCACATCCCCACATCACCCCATCCCCATCATCTGCCACCTCACATCATCCCCATCATCTGCCACCTCACATCATCCCCATCAACTGCCACCTCACATCACATCATGCCACCCCATCATCTGCCACCCCATCATCCCCATCAACTGCCACCTCACATCATCCCCATCAACTGCACCCCACATCATCCCCATCATCTGCTGCCACCTCACATCATCCCCATCAACTGCCACCTCACATCATCCCCATCATCTGCCACCTCACATCATCCCCATCAACTGCCACCTCACATCATCCCCATCAACTGCCACCTCACATCATCCCCATCAACTGCCACCTCACATCATCATCCCCATCAACTGCCACCTCACATCATCCCCATCAACTGCCACCACACATCATCCCCATCAACTGCCCCCTCACATCATCCCCATCAACTGCCACCTCACATCATCCCCATCAACTGCCACCACCCTCACATCATCCCCATCATCTGCCACCTCACATCATCCCCATCAACTGCCACCTCACATCATCCCCATCAACTGCCCACCCCCATCATCACTGCCACCTCACATCATCCCCATCAACTGCCACCTCACATCATCCCCATCAACTGCCACCCATCACATCATCCCCATCAACTGCCACCTCACATCATCCCCATCATCTGCCACCTCACATCATCCCCATCAACTGCCACCCCACATCATCCCCATCATCATCCACCTCACATCATCATCATCTGCCACCTCACATCATCCCCATCAACTGCCACCACCCACATCATCCCCATCAACTGCCACCTCACCATCCCCCATCATCTGCCACCTCAACTCACCCCATCACTGCCCCCTCACATCATCCCCATCAACTGCCACACTCATCCCCATCATCTGCCACCTCACATCATCCCCATCAACTGCCACCACCTCACATCATCCCCATCAACTGCCACCCTCACATCATCCCCACAACTGCCACCCCATCACTGCCCCATCTCACATCATCTGCCACCCTCACATCATCCCCATCAACTGCCACCTCACATCATCCTGCCATCACTGCCACACATCATCCCCATCAACTGCCACACACATCATCATCCCCATCAACTGCCACCCACATCACCCCCATCAACTGCCACCTCACATCATCCCCATCAACTGCCACCTCACATCATCCCATCAACTGCCACCCCACATCATCCCCATCAACTGCCACCTCACATCATCCCCATCAACTGCCACCTCACATCATCCCCATCAACTGCCACCTCACATCATCCCCATCAACTGCCACCTCACATCATCCCCATCAACTGCCACCTCACATCATCCCCATCATCTGCCCCCCACATCATCCCCATCAACTGCCACCACATCACATCATCCCATCAACTGCCACCCCACATCCCCATCAACTGCCACCCCACATCATCCCCATCAACTGCCACCCTCCCCATCATCCCCATCAATCTGCCACCTCACACATCATCCCCATCATCACTGCCACCTCACATCATCCCCATCAACTGCCACCCTCACATCCCCATCAACATGCCCCCATCATCATGCCATGCCACCACCTCACATCATCCCCATCAACTGCCACCTCACATCATCCCCATCAATCTGCCACCCTCACATCATCCCCATCATCTGCCACCTCACATCATCCCCATCATCCCCACTCTCACATCATCCCCACATCCACTCCCCATCAACCCATCAATGCCACCTCACATCATCCCCCACCTGCCACCACATCATCATCATCCATCAACTGCCCTCACATCATCCCCATCATCTGCCACCCCACATCATCCCCATCAACTGCCACCTCACATCATCTCATCAATGCCACCCCCACCCCATCAACTGCCACCCCACATCATCCCCATCAACTGCCACCTCACATCATCCCCATCAACTGCCACCCCACATCATCCCATCATTGCCACATCATCATCCCCATCACTCCCTCCCATCATCCCCATCCCCCACACATCATCCCCATCATCTGCCACCACACATCATCCCCATCATCTGCCACCCTGACATCAATCCCCATCAACTGCCAACCTCACATCATCCCCATCAACTGCCACCCATCATCATCTGCCACCTCACATCATCCCCATCAACTGCCACCTCACGTCATCCCCATCAACTGCCACCTCACATCATCTGCCACCTCACATCATCCCCATCAACTGCCACCACACATCATCCCCATCATCTGCCACCTCACATCATCCCCTCATCATCTGCCACCTCACATCATCCCCATCATCTGCCACTGCCTCACATCATCCCCATCACTGCCACCTCACATCATGACCAACTGCGGACCCTCACCTCATGACCATCAACTGCACCACATCACACAGTACAACTGATGACCTCACATCATCTGCAACCTCACACGTCATCCCAGACTGTTCGACCTGCAATCACTGTCACCACATCATCCCCATCTTCTGCCACCTCAAATCATCCCCATCAACTGCCACCAGTCACATTATCCCCCCCCCCCCCTGCGGACATAGTACAGGAGATGACCAGAGACTGCGGACAGTACAGGAGATGACCAGAGACTGCGGACATAGTACAGGAGATGACCAGAGACTGCGGACATAGTACAGGGGATGACCAGAGACTGCGGACACAGTACAGGAGATGATCAGAGACTGCAGACACAGTACAGGAGATGACCAGAGACTGCGGACACAGTACAGGAGATGACCAGAGACTGCAGACATAGTACAGGAGATGACCAGAGACTGCAGACACAGTACAGGAGATGACCAGAGACTGCGGACATAGTACAGGAGATGACCAGAGACTGCGGACACAGTACAGGAGATGACCCAGAGACTGCGGACACAGTACAGGGGATGACCCAGACTGCGGACACAGTACAGGAGATGACCAGAGACTGCGGACATAGTACAGGAGATGACCAGAGACTGCAGACATAGTACAGGAGATGACCAGAGACTGCAGACACAGTACAGGAGATGACCAGAGACTGCAGACATAGTACAGGAGATGACCAGAGACTGCAGGGTACAGGAGATGACCAGAGACTGCAGACACAGTACAGGAGATGACCAGAGACTGCGGACACAGTACAGGAGATGACCGGAGACTGCTGGACACATAGTACAGGAGATGACCAGAGACTGCGGACACAGTACAGGAGATGACCAGAGACTGCGGACACAGTACAGGAGATGACCAGAGACTGCGGACACAGTACAGGAGATGACCAGAGACTGCAGACATAGTACAGGAGATGACCAGAGACTGCAGACATAGTACAGGAGATGACCAGAGACTGCGGACACAGTACAGGAGATGACCAGAGACTGCAGACATAGTACAGGAGATGACCAGAGACTGCAGGGTACAGGAGATGACCAGAGACTGCAGGGTACAGGAGATGACCAGAGACTGCAGGGTACAGGAGATGACCAGAGACTGCAGGGTACAGGACACAGTAATGGATACATTGTATTTAGTATATTTGATTCTTTTGTTGCTTTTTAGTCATTTGTTTTGTTTTGCAGGAAATCCGAGAATGTCTGATCCCGAGGGATGGGGAGAGTCCCAGGTATGTCTGAACCCCTCCCCCCCACACCTGAACCCCTCCCTCCCACACCTGATCCCCCCCCCCCCTGAACCCCTCCCCCCCACACCTGAACCCTCCCCCCCCCCACACCTGACCCCCCCCCCCCCCACACCTGAACCCCTCCCCCCCCCACACCTGATCCCCCCCCCCCCACACCTGAACCCCTCCCCCCCACACCTGATCCCCCCCCACTGCCCCTCTTTCGGTGATAATAGAGGAATTGTAGTTGGATATCCTGTTGGGAAGTGGCTGTGAAGAGGCACACCTGTGTGAGAAGCCTTTGCTGGAAGCTGCCATTTGGCGGTGTGATGGTGTTAATGATGGAAATTGCTTTGATTGCTGGGAGACCTCAGTAGACCCGGCTCCAGGAAGGGCTGTGTCCTGTGTGCGTGGGCCCCTGACCTTCCTCTCAGGGGCCCATTGTCACCGCACGGGAGGAGGACCTGGCTTTGATCCTGACCTGAGCTAGCGATGGGATGGATTTAGCAGGAGGATGATAAGGGACCGCCTGGGGACGTCATATGTGGGGGCTCCTCCTACCCACGCCCCCCCGGTGACACCTATGATTTTGGTGGTGGGGGGGGGGGGGAGGGCGTAATGTTTCCAATCGTTGTCTGATGGGGGAGATTTCCTGTCTCTTGGGAGAAGACAGGAAATGAGGAGAAATCTCTCCATAGTTGGGGGTTTTCTCTTTTAGGTGTCTCCATTGGGAGATTTCCCGTCACTTCCTGCTCCGGTGACAACAGTAACATTTTGGGTTGCCCATCACTTTCTGATGCCACCAGGACAATATAGAGGGGGAGAATCTTCCCAGAGGGGACACACATACCCCACCCCCCTCCGTACACGTCTCACCCCCGGCTCCACTCTCTGGTTGTGGGAGGTCTCCACTCGCCATGTGTGCTGAGCTTTTCTACAAACATCTTCCTGCGGGGGTCCCCCCCTCCGGGGGTGGTGGGGGGGGGGGCACTCCGGCATGGTCTCCTATTGGTGAAGCAGATTAAAGCCACAAGCTGTACAAACGAGGGAGGGGCGCATGAGATCTCCTCCTCCTGGGGGAGCCATCCACGGAGCTCCTCTCTTCTCCCTGATCAAGGTGGAGCTGGGGGGGTGCGGAATCATGTGACTGAGATGTAAACCCCCCCCCCCCAGAGCTGGAGTTAAAACCTAGTGGTCGGTCATGTGACCTCCATATAAACCCCCCCCCCACGATTTTAGATTTGGAGTGTGGATGGGATAGAACCCCCCGTGTCCCCCTGGGGAGAGTCACCCTCTATTGGTGTCACCGAGACAGGAAGTGATGAAAAATCATCTAATGGTGACATCTGTATAAAAGGGAATCTCCCTTATCCTGTACAGATTTCCTCTCACTTCCTGTCGTGTCTCTGGAACAGGAAGTGAAGGGAAATCTCCCCAACAGGACACAGGAATGTGACACCGGGTAACCCTCTCCAACTCCACCCAAAACTAAAAGAATGTCCGGATCCCCTTTAAATGTGTGTTCAGTAACCTTCCCTCCCCTTTGTGTGGGGATCCCCCCAATCCGTCATACAGTCCGGCTTGGGGGGGGGGCGTGTCCCCAATAACCCCCCAATCGGCTCCACGCCGTCTCTGCTTCACCCATAACCACCCCGCCAAGAAAAAAGACACGGAGGGTGAATGTTACTTTTTATTACATAAGATAGAAAACAAAGTCCTATAAAAGCATAGATCTCTTCTGTACAACTATACAACTTCACATCCGGCCGGGAACAGCGCAGGGGGCGGGGCTTGGGGGTCAGCTTATCGCTCAGGAGAGGGGCACAGGGGGCGGAGTTTGGGGGTCAGTTGATCATGCAGACCAAAAAGGAGGCGGCGTTTTGGGGTCATTTAATCGCTCATGCCAGGAAGAGTGCAGGGGGTCAGTTGATCCTTTAGGCCAGGAAGAGTGCAGGGGGGGGTTTGGGGGTCAGTTGATCGCTCAGACCAGGAAGAGCACTGGGGGTCAGTTGATCCTTTAGGCCAGGAAAGAGCGCAGGGGGCGGGTTTGGGGGTCAGTTGATCACTCAGGCCAGGAAGAGTGCAGGGGGTGGGGTTTGGGGGTCAGTTGATCACTCAGGCCAGGAAGAGTGCAGGGGTGGGGTTTGGGGGTCAGTTGATCACTCAGGCCAGGAAGAGTGCAGGGGGTGGGGTTTGGGGTCAGTTGATCTCTCAAACCAGGAAGAGCACTGGGGGTCAGTTGATCCTTTAGGCCAGGAAGAGCGCAGGGGGCGGGGTTTGGGGGTCAGTTGATCACTCAGGCCAGGAAGAGTGCAGGGGGTGGGGTTTGGGGGTCAGTTGATCACTCAGGCCAGGAAGAGTGCAGGGGGTCAGTTGATCCTTTAGGCCAGGAAGAGCACAGGGGGCGGGGTTTGGGGGTCAGTTGATCACTCATGCCTGGAAGAGCCCTGGGGGTCAGTTGATCGCTTAGACCAGGAAGAGCGCAGGGGGCGGGGTTTGGGGTTCAGTTGATCACTCAGGCCAGGAAGAGTGCAGGGGGGGTCAGTTGATCCTTTAGGCCAGGAAGAGCACAGGGGGGCGGGGTTTGGGGGTCAGTTGATCACTCATGCCTGGAAGAGCCCTGGGGGTCAGTTGATCCTTTAGGCCAGGAAGAGCCCAGGGGGCGGGGTTTGGGGGTCAGTTGATCACTCAGGCCAGGAAGAGCGCAGGGGGCGGGGTTTGGGGTTCAGTTGATCACTCATGCCTGGAAGAGCCCTGGGGGTCAGTTGATCCTTTAGGCCAGGAAGAGCCCAGGGGGCGGGGTTTGGGGGTCAGTTGATCGCTCAGACCAGGAAGAGCACTGGGGGTCAGTTGATCCTTTAGGCCAGGAAGAGCGCAGGGGGCGGGGTTTGAGGGTCAGTTGATCACTCAGGCCAGGAAGAGCGCAGGGGGTGGAGTTTTGATCACTTAGGCTGGGAAGAGCAAGGGGCGGGGTTTTGAGGGTCATTTGATCACTCAGGCTGGGAAGAGAGCGAGGGGCGGGGTAGGGTTTTTTTTGGGGGTCAGTTGATCACTCAGGCCAGGAAGAGCGCAGGGGGTGGAGTTTTGATCACTCAGGCTGGGAAGAGCGCGAGGGGCGGGGTTTGGGGCTTGTCCAGCTCCGCCCACTCGGGGGTTGGCAGTTAGTGGTTTATACAGTGAATACTAAAGTCCTCTATAAATATTCTCTATAAAATCTGCGTATTTACATGTGTACATGTGGCCATGCGTCCTTCGTATTTACATGTGTACATGTGGCCATGCGTCCTTCGTATTTACATGTGTACATGTGGCCATGCGTCCTTCGTGCCGGCCCGGCACCACAATACTGTCATTGTTTCAGCTGCGCACTTATTGCTTTCATCTCATAGAGATTAGGGAGGAAGGTTGGGGGGGGGGGGGGGTCGGGGTGGAGATCTCTGCCCGCGAGACTCTGAGATATTGACCCCCCCCACCATGGCGGTCAGTCTTGTGCCTGCACATGGGCGCAGCTGCTCGGAAAGTGCACCGTGGTCACGGTTCTTTGGCTACATACAAGCGCTATGAGTGTCATGGAGACGTTGCTTCTCTTTGGTCACATGACTCGTGTCTAGGCTCTGACGTTTGGCACTGGTCCAGTCCTGTCCAGCTGTATACAGTCCGGAATGTTTCATCACAGTCCAAGCACCAGGACTAAGGGGAGGAGGAGTCCAAAGATGAGGAGCGAGGCGGGTCTGCTGGTCGAATTCTGAGCGACGCTCTTCATGACTCCGGGAGGGTCGTCTGCTGGCCCATCTGTAGAGAGAAGAGGAGGCAAAAAGGTCTGAGACTTTGTCAGCTGGTGGAGGGCTGGGGGGTCAGGTAAGAGAAGATATGACCAACCAGAGGGGCCAGGGGTCAGGTAGAAGGACCTATGACCAACCAGGGGTCAGTAGAAGGTAGAAGGACCTATGACCAACCAGGGGTCAGGTAGGAGGACGTATGACCAGCCAGAGGGGTTGGGGGTCAGGTAAGAGAAGATATGACCAACCAGAGGGGCCAGGGGTCAGGTAGAAGGACTTATGCCCAACCAAGGGTCAGGTAGGAGGACGTATGACCAGCCAGAGGGGCCAGGGGTCAGGTAGAAGGACCAATGACCAACCATGGGTCAGGAAGGCGGATGTATGACCAGCCAGAGGGGCCAGAGGTCAGGTAGAAGGACCTATGACCAACCATGGGTCAGGTAGAGAAGGTAGAAGGACCTATGACCAACCAGGGGTCAGGTAGGAGGACGTATGACCAGCCAGAGGGGTTGGGGGTCAGGTAAGAGAAGATATGACCAACCAGAGGGGTCAGGTAGAAGGACTTATGCCCAACCAAGGGTCAGGTAGGAGGACGTATGACCAGCCAGAGGGGCCAGGGGTCAGGTAGAAGGACCAATGACCAACCATGGGTCAGGAAGGCGGATGTATGACCAGCCAGAGGGGCCAGAGGTCAGGTAGAAGGACCTATGACCAACCATGGGTCAGGAAGGAGGACGTATGACCAGCCAGAGGGGCCGGGGTCAGGTAGGAGGACGTATGACCAGCCAGAGGGGTCAGGTAGAAGGACCTATGACCAACAATGGGTCAGGAAGGAGGACATATGACCAGCCAGAGGGGCCGGGGGTCAGGTAGGTGGACCTATGACTAGCCAGGGGTCAGGTAACAGGATGTATGACCAGCCAAAGGGGCCGGGGGTCAGGTAGGAGGACGTATGACCAGCCAGAGGGGTCAGGTAGAAGGACCTATGACCAACCATGGGTCAGGAAGGAGGACGTATGACCAGCCAGAGGGGCCAGGGGTCAGGTAGGTAGACCTATGACCAGCCAGGGGGGCCAGGGGTCAGGTAACAGGATGTATGACCAGCCAGAGGGGCCGGGGGTCAGGTAGGAGGACATATGATCAGCCAGGGGGCCAAGGCCAGGCAGGAGGATGAAGGAATGTATGACTAACTAGGGGGTCAGGTAGGATGTATGACTAACTAGGGGGTCTTATGACCAGCCAGAGGGGCCGGGGTCAGGTAGGAGGACGTATGACCAGCCAGAGGGGTCAGGTAGAAGGACCTATGACCAACCATGGGTCAGGAAGGAGGACGTATGACCAGCCAGAGGGGCCAGGGGTCAGGTAGGTAGACCTATGACCAGCCAGGGGGCCAGGGGTCAGGTAACAGGATGTATGACCAGCCAGAGAGGGCCGGGGGGGTCAGGTAGGAGGACATATGATCAGCCAGGGGGGCCAAGGCCAGGCAGGAGGATGTATGACTAACTAGGGGGTCAGGTAGGAGGTCTTATGACCAGCCAGAGGGGCGGGGGTCAGGTAGGAGGAGGACATGTGACCAGCCAGAGAGCCAGGTAGGAGGACATGTGACCAGATGAAGGGCCAGGGATCAGGTTGGAGGACATATGATCAGCCAGGGGGGCCGGGGCCAGGCAGGAGGATGTATGACTAACTAGGGGGTCGGGGGTCAGGTAGGAGATCTTATGACCAGCCAGAGGGGCGGGGGTCAGGTAGGAGGACATGTGATCAGATGAAGAGCCATGGGTCATGTTGGAGGACAAATGAGCCAGGGGTCAGGTAGGAAGACAGGTAGGATGACCAGCTAGGGGTGGCGGGGGTCAAGTAAGAGGACATTTGACCAGTCAGAGAGGCCAGGGGTCAGGTACGAGAACGTATGACCAGCCAGAGGGGCCAGGGGTCAAGTAGAAGGACGTATGACCAGCCAGAAGGCCAGGGGTCAGGTAGGAGGACATGTGATCAGATGGAGGGGCTGGCTCATCACAAGCCCACAGAGATCCCACCACCCTGTAGGGTGTAGGAAACCCTCAGGTGGTTCCAGCATCTACCAAACCGTGAGATTTCAGTTCTGTGCGGAGTGTCCCTTTAACTTGCAGGGCCGGGCCAGTAACACGAAGGCTGAGGCTCGGCAGAAGGCCGGGGAGTGAACAGCTCAGCATCTGGATCTCATTGCCGGGATTGGGGCGGGATAGGGCGGCTGACATTGAGGGGTTCCCCCCGGGCCCACACTCCTACCCTGCTCTGATTACAGCAAACAGCAAAGCATGATGGGAACTTACCCGAGAGGACTCCGGATCGCGGGGTGTGGACGTTGGTGAGCGGCTCTTGAGCTGCGGAGACAAAGAGAGAAGTTTTCATATCGGCTCTCCTACATTAATCTGTGTAATTACAACATGTCAGGACACGTAGGGGTTAACAAAGGGGGAGGGGCCAGGTATTTGCCTGCATGCTGGAAAATCTCCGCTTTTTCACCCCCACATTCCCCCTATAGGATACAAAAACTCAGCTGAACCGCAGCAAGCTTTATTGATAGCAGAGAAGGTCAGACGGACATGTGACTCCACCCCTTGAGCGTTTGGCCCAATGGGCTTCACAACAGGAGGTTCTATGGGAATATTTTCCCATTCTTATCACGTCTGCCTGGAACAACCTGACCTCGGCTGAGTCACCGAACTATTGTCAGGCTGAATGATAGAAAAATCGTCTTCTGCAGGAGCTCCGTCTGGGAAATCACATGAGTAAACGGTATTGAGGGAGCTGGCAGGAAACAACCACCGCGTCTGGAGCCAGAACAATGTCTGGGGGAGGGGAGGATGGATCGGGGGCAGAGATTGGTCATTTAGGGATGCACTCCCCTTTAGGCACTTTGGTGCCCTGGCTGGGGATGAGAAGGTTGGGCGGCACAGCTGGGGTTCGGGAGATTGGCGGCCTGGCTTGGGATGGGTATGGTTGGTGTCCCTGCTCGGGATGGGGAGGTTGGTAGCCTGGATTGGAATGGGAAGGTTGGCGGCCTGGATTGGAATGGGAAGGTTGGCGGCCTGACTTGGATGGGAAGGTTGGTGGCCTGGATTGGAATGGGAAGGTTGGCGGCTTGACTCGGGATGGGAAGGTTGGTGGCCTGGATTGGAATGGGAAGGTTGGTGGCCTGGATTGGAATGGGAAGGTTGGTGGCCTGGATTGGAAATGGGAAGGTTGGTGGCCTGGCTCGAGATGGGAAGGTTAGCGGCCTGGATTGGGATGCCTGGAAGGTTAGCGGCCTGCCTCGGTTGGTGGCCTGGCTGGAAATGGGAAGGTTGGCGGCCTGGCTGGGGATGGGGAGGTTGGCGGCCTGGCTGATTGGGATGGGGAGGTTGGCGGCCTGGCTCGGGATGGCACGGTTGGTGGCCTGGCTGAGGATGGGGAGGTTGGTGGCTTGGCATGGCACGGTTGGTGGCCCAGCTCGGGATGGGACGGTTGGTGTCCCTGCTCAGGATGGGAAGGTTGGTAGCCTGGATTGGAATGGGGAAGGTTGGGGGCCTGGATTGGAATGGGAAGGTTGGGGGGCCTGGATTGGAATGGGAAGGTTGGTGGCCTGCCTCGGTTGGTGGCCCAGCTCAGGGATGGGACGGTTGGTGTCCCTGCTCAGGATGGGAAGGTTGGTAGCCTGGATTGGAATGGGAAGGCCTGCCTCGGGGGGCCTGGCTCGGGATGGGACGGTTTGGTGTCCCGGCTCGGGATGGGAAGGATGGGTTGGTGGAACAGATTGGACACTTAGAATGCGTCGGTACAAACAGTTCCAGACAGGAGCTTACAGAGTTCAGGAGCCAGTCAGTCTGATGTCATGGAGAAAGCTCAGATGTTGGTCATTTTTTAGGTGTTTTGGTGCTCCGACTCGCAGATCTCTCCAGACCGCGTGTAGTCTTCTCCCCCCCCCCCCCCCCCCATTGTGGACAGAAGTCTGGGTACTTACTGTGTAGTCTTCTCCCCCCCCCCCCTCCCTGTTGTGGACAGAAGTCTGGGTACTTACTGTGTAGTCTTCCCCCCCCCCCCCCCCCCATTATGGACAGAAGTCTGGTCACTTACTGTTTAGTCCCCCCCCCCCCCCCCCCCCCCCCATTATGGACAGAAGTCTGGTCACTTACTGTTTAGTCCCCCCCCCACCCCCCCCCCCCCCCCCCCCCCCCCCCCCATTGTGGACAGAAGTCTGGGTACTTACTGTTTAGTCCCCCCCCCCCCCCCCCCCCCCCCCATTGTGGACAGAAGTCTGGTCACTTACTGTTTAGTCCCCCCCCATTGTGGACAGAAGTCTGGGTACTTACTGGCTTTGCCGGCCACGTGGACCTTCAGCTTGAGGCAGGACTCTCCGTGATGGTGGAAGGGTTTGGCTACAAAGAGAAGAGAATTTCACGGTGAGATAGAAGTCAGCAGCTGGAGGATGACCCCCACACCCCTCCTCCGCCCCACACACAATGGACAATCTCCCAGCAGGAACCCCCCCCTTTCACCCGCCTTCCCGAACTTGTTGTGCTGATTCCTGCGAAGAGGACCTGTCTGTACTATCCTGACACGCCCAACCAGACAGCGGCGGCGTCCTGTCCGTGCTTGCGCTGGGATGAGCCTTGCCGTGCCAGCTCAGACTCGTTCCCAGGAGAGCCGCCTCTGGAACAAAGGACGGGGATTACTCCACCGATCCCCCCCAAAACACAGCTGGGTGTACGCCCACAAATCCACTGTGTGAGGGAGAAACAACCCCCCCCATATGTGAGGGAGAGACAACCCCCCCTTATAGAGGGAGAGACAACCCCCCATATAGAGAGACAACCCCCCATATGTGAGGGAGAGACAACCCCCCCTTATAGAGGGAGAGACAACCCCCCCCCCCATATGTGAGGGAGAGACAACCCCCCATATGTGAGGGAGAGACAACCCCCCATATGTGAGAAACAACCACCCCATATGTGAGGGAGAGACAACCCCCCCATATGTGAGAAACAACCCCCCCATATGTGAGGGAGAGACAACCCCCCATATAGAGAGACAACCCCCCATATGTGAGGGAAAGACAACCCCCCCTTATAGAGGGAGAGACAACCCCCCATATGTGAGGGAGAGACAACCCCCCCTTATAGAGGGAGAGACAACCCCCCATATAGAGAGACAACCCCCCCTTATAGAGGGGAGAGACAACCCCTCATATGTGAGGGAGAGACAACCCCCCCTTATAGAGGGAGAGACAATCCCCCATATGTAGGGAGAGACAACCCCCTTATAGAGGGAGAGAAACAGACCCCCCCCCATATGTGAGAGAAACAACCCCCCCATATGTGAGGGAGAGACAACCCCCCATATGTGAGAACCCCCCCATATGTGAGGGAGAGACAACCCCCCCATATGTGAGGGAGAGACAACCCCCCCAGAACTTCCACCGAGCGACAATCCACCCCATAGACTTGTGTGCGGATCACAGGAGGCGCTTGTTGTGCTCACTGCTCGCCCTTCACCTGGAATCTTATCGATCGCTTCTCAAAGTCCAATCAGATAAGAGAAAATCAGGTTTTTTTCCTCCTTCACAGAATGAAATGAGGGCATTGACACCCACCCCACTGCAAGTGTCACCAATCATTTATCTTCCTGAACCCCCGTCACCCCATGGTGGATTCTGTCTCATAGGGTCTCCAGTCCTGAGATGTCCACATAGTTCTCAATGGAGCTGGGAACTCAGCACAGGGATGGTGGGAACCCCTCATGGGCCAATGGGCACAGTAGGCATACAGGCGACCCGGCAACTCAGCACAGGGATGGTGGGAACCCCTCATAATGGGCACAGCAGGCATACAGACCCGGGAACTCAGCACAGGGATGATGGGAACCCTTCATAATGAGCACAGGGATGGTGGGAACCCCTCATAATGGGCACAGCTGGTGTACAGACCCAGGAACTCAGCACAGGGATGGTGGGAATCTCTCATAATGAGCACAGGGATGGTGGGAATCCCCCATTTAATGTGCATTGAACCCCGACCTCCTTATCTTGGCGCCACTTACATATATAATAGTAGCTGTTTCCCTCCTTGAACTCTTTCCCAAGGCTAAAGGCGGTAAACTTCTGGAACTTTTCACGGAACTTCTCAGGCCCATGCGGGGCGAAGGGCTTGATGCACTCCCAGCGGACCTGGTTCTTGGAAAGCGGTTTGCAGGTTGTGTACTCCTCATAATCCACCAGGAATAGGGTGTAGCGTTCCACTGTTCTCCCCGGGACGTTCTCTTCCTCATAGTGGGGGCACACGATGTCCAGGTAGTCGTTGAGTCTGACTTCTACCGAATAATCGTCCCACAGGAAGCTGCGGAGAGAGGAGAGACGTGATTGGTCAGTGGAAGGAGACAGAACCTATACCAGATTGGACCCCTTCAGGAAGAGAATTCCAAACTGGGCCCATCAAGAGCAGAGCCTATCCCCAACTAGAACCATCAAGAAGAGAGCCTATCCCCAACTAGAACCATCAAGAGGAGAGCCTATCCCCCAACTAGAACCATCAAGAGGAAAGTCTGTCCCCAAACTAGAACCATCAAGAGGAGAACCTATTCCAAACTGGCCCCTTCATGAGGAGAACCTATTCCAAACTGGACCATTCAAGAGGAGAGTCTGTCCTAAACTAGAACCATCAAGAGGAGACCCTGTCCTAAACTAGAACCATCAAGAGGAGAGCATATCCCAAACTAGAACCATCAAGAGGAGACCCTGTCCTAAACTAGAACCATCAAGAGGAGAGCATATCCCAAACTAGAACCATCAAGAGGAGACCCTGTCCTAAACTAGAACCATCAAGAGGAGACACCCTGTCCTAAACTAGAACCATCAAGAGGAGAGCATATCCCAAACTAGAACCATCAAGAGGAGACCCTGTCCTAAACTAGAACCATCAAGAGGAGACCCTGTCCTAAACTAGAACCATCAAGAGGAGACCCTGTCCTAAACTAGAACCATCAAGAGGAGAGCCTATCCCAAACTAGAACCATCAAGAGGAGAGCCTATCCCAAACTAGAACCATCATGAGGAGAACCTATTCCAAACTGGACCCTTCATGAGGAGAACCTATTCCAAACTGGACCCTTCATGAGGAGAACCTATTCCAAACTGGAGCCTTCATGAGGAGAACCTATTCCAAACTGGAGCCTTCATGAGGAGAACCTATTCCTAAACTGGACCCTTCATGAGGAGAACCTATTCCAAACTGGACCCCCTTCATGAGGAGAACCTATTCCAAACTGGACCCTTCATGAGGAGAAACCTATTCCAAACTGGACCCTTCATGAGGAGAACCTATTCCAAACTGGACCCTTCATGAGGAGAACCTATTCCAAACTGGACCTTAGGAGAGGCCATGCCACCTCTTTATCTGCCCCCCTTATGGTTCGCTTTTGCTTGGTTCCTATGACCAGCCATTCTCAGCCAGGGTTCCTTCAGAGGTTTCTAGAGTTCCTTCATCTGTGGCTGAGTGACCTCCCATCTAAAGGTGCCTACATAATTCGGTGGGCAAGACCACTTGCCGGGTCAAATGCGTGATACCAGTGTTCTGTATAGTTGTCTGGATGGGGGGGCATGTTTCCCACTGACCCCCAATGGACTGGTGTTAGCAAGGGTCCCCTGACATAGCAAAATGATTTCATTGGTTCTCCTGGAGAGAAGTGGTTGAGAAAGGCTTCTCTAAGGTGAAGTCCACATGGACAGTATGGTTGACCCAAGGCCGTGGCCCCCTAGCGATACTTTGCGGTTCGTCTTTCTAAATGAGATATTTTGTAACAATTTTAGTAGAAGTTTATGGGCCCCGAAATATTCCAGCAACTCAACACGCAGATTGTGAGGTATGTGAATTATGAAAAGCGCGCACTGTTCCTGTAATCGGGATATTTGTGGCCCTTCCCGGAGCACGGAGCACAAAGCGCCCGTCATTCCAGAAGGGTTTCCTGCCATGTCATGCACAATGGCGCCTTGTACCCGATTACCACTCGGTATAAACATAGAACATCGTAAAATGATAAAAATGTGGCGGGACAGCGAGGGGCTCTCGGGGGCCACAGAGGGGATCCTTGTTGGTGGAAGAGTCAGCGGTACGGCTTCTGTCACATCAATGTGGACGGGACTTTGGTTTTGGCACTACTGCTGGGGTTCATCATTCTACCCAACTACTGATGGGGTTCATTCTACTGACACCCCACTACTGAAGGGGTTCATCATTCTACTGACACCCCCAACTACTGATGGGGTTCGTCATTCTACTGACACCCCACTACTGAAGGGGTTCATCATTCTACTGACACCCCAACTACTGATGGGGTTCATTCTACTGGCACCCCACTACTGAAGGGGTTCATCATTCTACTGACACCCCACTACTGAAGGGGTTCATCATTCTACTGACACCCCAACTACTGATGGGGTTCGTCATTCTACTGACACCCCACTACTGAAGGGGTTCATCATTCTACTGACACCCCAACTACTGATGGGGTTCATTCTACTGGCACCCCCACTACTGAAGGGGTTCACCATTCTACTGACACCCCACTACTGATGGGGTTCATTCTACTGGCACCCCACTACTGAAGGGGTTCATCATTCTACTGACAGCCCACTATGATGGGGTTCACCATTCTACTGACACCCCACTACTGAAGGGGTTCATCATTCTACTGACACCCCAACTACTGATAGGGTTCATTCTACTGGCACCCCACTACTGAAGGGGTTCACCATTCTACTGACACCCCACTACTGATGGGGTTCATCATTCTACTGACACCCCCACTACTGATGAGGTTCATCATTCTACTGACAGCCCACTACTGATGAGGTTCATCATTCTACTGACACCCCAACTACTGATGGGGTTCATCATTCTACTGACAGCCCACTACTGATGAGGTTCATCATTCTACTGACAGCCCACTACTGATGAGGTTCATCATTCTACTGACACCCCAACTACTGATGGGGTTCATCATTCTACTGACAGCCCCACTACTGATGAGGTTCATCATTCTACTGACACCCCAACTACTGATGGGGTTCATCATTCTACTGACAGCCCACTACTGATGGGTTCATCATTCTACTGACACCCCACTACTGATGGGGTTCATCATTCTACTGACAGCCCACTACTGATGGGGTTCATCATTCTACTGACACCCAACTACTGATGGGGTTTCATTCTACTGGCACACCCCCACTACTGATGGGGTTCACCATTCTACTGACACCCCACTACTGATGGGGTTTCATTCTACTGGCACCCCACTACTGAAGGGGTTCATCATTCTACTGACACCCCACTACTGAAGGGTTCATCATTCTACTGACACCCCAACTACTGATGGGGTTCATTCTACTGACACCCCACTACTGATGGGGTTCATCATTCTACTGACACCCCACTACTGAAGGGGTTCATCATTCTACTGACACCCCACTACTGATGGGGTTCGACATTTTACCGACACTCCTCTACTGATGGGGTTCATCATTCTACTGACACCCCAACTACTGATGGGGTTCAACATTCTGACACCCCACTACTGATGGGCTTCACCATTCTACTGACACCCCACTACTGATGGGGTTCATCGTTATACTGACCCCCCACTACTGATGGGGTTTGACATTTTACCGACACTACTGATGGGGTTCAACATTCTGACACCCCACTACTGATGGGGTTCACCATTCTGACACCCCACTACTGATGGGGTTATCGTTCTACTGACCCCCCACTACTGATGGGGTCACCATTCTACTGACATCCCCCCTACTGATGGGGTCACCATTCTACTGACATCCCCCTACTGATGGGGTTCATTGTTCTACAGACACCCCCTCTACTGATGGGTTCATTGTTCTACAGACACCCCTGTACTGATGGGGTTCAAAGTTCTACTGACACCCCCCTACTGATGGAATTCACTGTCCTACTGACACCCCCCTTACTGATGGGGTTCAAAGTTCTACTGACACCCCTCTACTGATAGGTTTTACTGTTGTACAGTCATCCCTCTACTGATGGGGTTCATTGTTCTACTGACACCCCCCTACTGATGGAATTCACTGTCCTACTGACACCCCCCTACTGATGGAATTCACTGTCCTACTGACACCCCCCTACTGATGGAATTCACTGTCCTACTGACACCCCCCCTACTGATGGAATTCACTGTCCTACTGACACCCCCTTACTGATGGGGTTCACTGTTGTACTGACACCCCCCTACTAATGGGGTTCACTGTCCTACAGACACCCCCTACTGATGAGGTTCACTGTCCTACTGACACCCCCCCACTGATGGGGTTCACTGTCCTACAGACACCCCCTACTGATGGGGTTCATTGTTCTCCTGACACACCCCTTACTGATGGGGTTCACTGTCCTACAGACACCCCCTACTGATGGGGTTCACTGTCCTACAGACACCCCCTACTGATGGGGTTCATTGTTCTCCTGACACCCCCTTACTGATGGGGTTCACTGTCCTACTGACACCCCCTTTACTGATGGGGTTCATTGTTCTCCTGACACCCCCTTTACTGATGGGGTTCACCATTCAGGGACCCCAGGGGCTCCGTGATCCATCAGACGTATGTTTTGTGAGGAGCACACGTATGTTTTATGAGGAGCACACGTATGTTTTGCGAGGAGCACACGTATGTTTTGCGAGGAGCACACGTATGTTTTGCGAGGAGCACACGTATGTTTTGCGAGGAGCACACGTATGTTTTGCGAGGAGCACACGTATGTTTTGTTCCGGGAACTATGTGGAATTTTTGTGTTTTGGCAAGTCAGGATGTTCCTGCGCAATCTCATAGCTTGGGGCCACCAGCCGTGACCCCGGGGCATTGAAAGTCCTACGTGGGGGTGAGTCAGTCAGGAGGAAGGCGCTGGCAGAGTTAATCGCTGTACGCCGTGTCAGGTGGGAATAGCCGCCTCGCCCTGACACTTGCGCAATGTTCAGCTCACACTCAAGTCTGGAGGATTTGGAGAATTTCTACTCCTACACTGAGCACAGATCAAGAGGACCTGTCATTGGGAGCCAGAAAATCCCACCCAAGGCTCGCCAGGCATTATGGCCATCCGGCGCTTCAACAGTCATACTACCGGAGGTCTGGTGACAAAATATCAGCCCCTAGTATGTAGGACGGGTCCTCTTCCACCCGCTGCTCCCCGCCGTAGACCCGGCGTCTTGGCCCCGGTGAGCCTGGTGTCAGTCTAAGCAGTTGGTTCCTGTCAGCCCCAGGGTGTCACACATCCTCATTAACCCCAATCCCCCCAGCAGACAGACTGGCTCCACT